TAAAGACAATAGTTAAAAAATTACCGAACAGAAAAGCACCAGGACCGGACGGACTACAAAACATAATACTTAAACAACTGCCGACAAACGCCTACATTTTACTTACCCGGATAATAAATAGAATAATGATAAAAGGCTGCTTTCCCGCTTCTTGGAAAACCTCCACCATATTTCCAATAGTGAAGCCAAGGAAACAGCCAGACATACCACAGAACTACAGACCGATCAGCCTCCTCAACACAATGAGTAAGGTAGCCGAAAAGGTACTACTCAAAAGACTTAACAAACACATAAGACACAACAAAATTATACCTGACACACAATACGGATTCAAAGAACGACACTCCACACTACACCCACTGACAAAACTCATAGAGAATACAGTTCTCAATTTCAACAGACGAAACCATACCGGATTGGTGTTACTTGACTTTGAGAAGGCGTTTGACACCATCTGGATGGACGGACTTGTACATAAACTTATCCAACTCAACTTTCCACCGTACATAACGAGAACTTTACACTCATACCTCTCAGACCATAACTTCACCGTACAAGTAGACAACGGACTTTCGACGGTTAAACAAGTGACGGTGGGAGTACCGCAGGGCTCGATCCTGGGACCGTCCTTGTTTAACGTCTACATTCACGACATACCCACTGACGCCGACACAACGTTACTGACGTTTGCTGACGACACTGCCATATACAAATCATCACGATCACCGACGCTACTGACTACAAAGATACAGACACACATAGACAAGCTGACCGAATATACTGACAAATGGCAGATCAGAATCAATCCGCAAAAGACGGAGGCAATTTTATTTACAAAGAGCCGAAATGCCACGACTAGACTGACTGACTTGGACAAAATTAAAGTATTGGACTGTGAAGTTGAGTGGTCGAAGGATGTCAAATATCTTGGTGTGACCCTGGACCATAGACTCAGCTTCACAAAACATATTAATACAAAAATTGGACAGGCTTACGGGATGTTAAATCTACTGAGACCTCTCTTGAACCAGAACAGCCCGCTAAGCGTGAAGAACAAACGGACACTTTACTTGACACTAATAAGACCGATACTGACATACGCCGCTCCAGCATGGAACGCGACGACTAAGACCAACTTACAGAAACTACAGACATTACAAAATAAGACACTACGACTAGTACTTAACAAAATAAGGGACCCACTGACTAGACATTATTACTCTTCAGAATACATACACAAACAGACTGACGTACCGACAATACTCGACTATATAAAAAAGCTCACCGGAAATTTTTATCTAAAATGCGGGGATCATCCTAATATTAACATCGCGGGCCTCGGCCAATACACAAGAGACGATATTTGGTATGGCAATCACGCCATGCCAAAATATATACTGATCGACCCATAGCGGTAAACAAAAATTGGCTCGTCACAAATTTTCTCCCTTAGAGTGAATAAATTTTTATTATGTTTTTCTTTTTTTGTATTATTACGTGTTATTATAAATAGTGCTATGTGATTTTTTTTGTGGATAAATTTTCTTTCCTCTTTTTTTGTCACACAAATATGAATTTATTTATATATTATGTATTAATTATTGTTTGCAAAATCAAATCCAATGAAGGATACAATACCTACGGGTAAAAAACCCATGTTATAAACAATGTACATACTTTTATATACTGAAATATATAGTCTTTGAATTGAAAAAAAAACTACATTATCCTGACACGCCGACCAGATACGCCACCGTACATACGCACCATCACAGTACGATCGATTTGGCATTGACAAAAAATCTACACGTAACATCCGAACCCATAACAAGAACACTTTTCAACTCTGACCATAATCCAGTTTTCATGACCATTTCAGACAGACTAGACGTCGACCAGACTCCCAAACGCACATTTTTAGATTACACCAGAGCCAACTGGCCAATTTTCAGAGACATCATTACAGACAACACACGACACACTATGCCAATCGATACCAACACTGACATTGAGGAGGCTGTAACACACCTTACACTGACAATCACAGACGCCGTACAACAGACTATACCGACACTAGACTCAAGAACAACACCAGCCAACGACTTGCCAGAACACATTTAATTATTCTCAATAAAATTCAAACTCAATAAACTTATTGAAAATACAACTTAAAAATCATACAAAGAAACTGTGGCAACGTACCGGTGACAGACTACTCAAGGAACATGTGAACAGACTGACAAAAATTATTTCCAATGAAATACGTGACCACCGAAACAACACTTGGACCAAAAGACTCGAGAACATAAATACTGACCCACACAAAATTTGGCAGACAGCAAAAAGACTGACGCAGAAACCAACAATCATACCTCCACTCAAATTAACTGACAACAATTACGCAACGACACCAGCAGACAAGGCGGAAATATTGGCAAAAAAACTTTGAAAACATACATAAACAAAATGCCAATATGTCAAACGCAGACCTGAAACAAGACGTACACGAGACAATTCAAAACTTCACTGACCTCCACAGGGACAAAGACTTACGAATAGACCCTGCCACAGTTTCCGAAATAAAGACAATAGTTAAAAAATTACCGAACAGAAAAGCACCAGGACCGGACGGACTACAAAACATAATACTTAAACAACTGCCGACAAACGCCTACATTTTACTTACCCGGATAATAAATAGAATAATGATAAAAGGCTGCTTTCCCGCTTCTTGGAAAACCTCCACCATATTTCCAATAGTGAAGCCAAGGAAACAGCCAGACATACCACAGAACTACAGACCGATCAGCCTCCTCAACACAATGAGTAAGGTAGCCGAAAAGGTACTACTCAAAAGACTTAACAAACACATAAGACACAACAAAATTATACCTGACACACAATACGGATTCAAAGAACGACACTCCACACTACACCCACTGACAAAACTCATAGAGAATACAGTTCTCAATTTCAACAGACGAAACCATACCGGATTGGTGTTACTTGACTTTGAGAAGGCGTTTGACACCATCTGGATGGACGGACTTGTACATAAATTTATCCAACTCAACTTTCCACCGTACATAACGAGAACTTTACACTCATACCTCTCAGACCATAACTTCACCGTACAAGTAGACAACGGACTTTCGACGGTTAAACAAGTGACGGTGGGAGTACCGCAGGGCTCGATCCTGGGACCGTCCTTGTTTAACGTCTACATTCACGACATACCCACTGACGCCGACACAACGTTACTGACGTTTGCTGACGACACTGCCATATACAAATCATCACGATCACCGACGCTACTGACTACAAAGATACAGACACACATAGACAAGCTGACCGAATATACTGACAAATGGCAGATCAGAATCAATCCGCAAAAGACGGAGGCAATTTTATTTACAAAGAGCCGAAATGCCACGACTAGACTGACTGACTTGGACAAAATTAAAGTATTGGACTGTGAAGTTGAGTGGTCGAAGGATGTCAAATATCTTGGTGTGACCCTGGACCATAGACTCAGCTTCACAAAACATATTAATACAAAAATTGGACAGGCTTACGGGATGTTAAATCTACTGAGACCTCTCTTGAACCAGAACAGCCCGCTAAGCGTGAAGAACAAACGGACACTTTACTTGACACTAATAAGACCGATACTGACATACGCCGCTCCAGCATGGAACGCGACGACTAAGACCAACTTACAGAAACTACAGACATTACAAAATAAGACACTACGACTAGTACTTAACAAAATAAGGGACCCACTGACTAGACATTATTACTCTTCAGAATACATACACAAACAGACTGACGTACCGACAATACTCGACTATATAAAAAAGCTCACCGGAAATTTTTATCTAAAATGCGGGGATCATCCTAATATTAACATCGCGGGCCTCGGCCAATACACAAGAGACGATATTTGGTATGGCAATCACGCCATGCCAAAATATATACTGATCGACCCATAGCGGTAAACAAAAATTGGCTCGTCACAAATTTTCTCCCTTAGAGTGAATAAATTTTTATTATGTTTTTCTTTTTTTGTATTATTACGTGTTATTATAAATAGTGCTATGTGATTTTTTTTGTGGATAAATTTTTTTTCCTCTTTTTTTGTCACACAAATATGAATTTATTTATATATTATGTATTAATTATTGTTTGCAAAATCAAATCCAATGAAGGATACAATACCTACGGGTAAAAAACCCATGTTATAAACAATGTACATACTTTTATATACTGAAATATATAGTCTTTGAATTGAAAAAAAAAAGAAAATTATATTGAATTATTTACTGCTCAATTTTATTGATAATAATTTTTTATACAATTTAGTAGAACAACAAAATAATAATTTACCAATATTGAATAATTTATTTTAAAAATTAATTATTTGCTGTTTATGCATAATATTACATACGAGGTGTAAATATTTTTATAATAGTCAAATGTAATATACTATTTTTGATAGAAATGCGGTTACTGACAAGCGTAAAAAATTATGTATAAGTAAAAAAAATATGTTAAGTTTTATTTTTCAATAATTTTACTTAACAATGTAAAAGTTGAGAAACGAACCACCAATAATTTAAAAAATACATTTTTTCATTCCTTTGGACTCATTTTAATATCCATCATGATTATTTGTTTATCTTTAAGACTTTTAAATTTATCCTAGCTAGATTTAATTTTTACGTACAATTTTATAGCTCAATTAATCTATATCTATATTTAAAATGTCACAAATAAAATTTTATTCAATGTATAATTTTTTATTTAACTAAAATATTAACATAGTTTAGATTACTAATTAATTTAAACAATTAACATGTCATTAATTACGGCATTCTTGCAATATCATAAACATATGCATTAAGCAAATTGTAATAGAAAATACAAAAAAATTATTAATATCATGGAAAGATTTTTATTCTAACAAATAAATCATAAATATCAATATTAAGAACGCCGCGTATTACTTGTTCCATTGATCGTTGTCTTTTGAATAATTTGATATACGTACAAAAAGAACAAAGAAATAAAACAGAAAATAAAATTTTAGAATACAGTCATTTGATATGCTACTCGGCGTCGCCACCTTCTTCTTCATCTTCCCCAAATTCTCCTTCTTCTTCGGCAGTTGCCTCTTGATATTGCTGGTATTCAGACACCAAATCGTTCATATTGCTTTCCGCTTCCGTAAACTCCATTTCGTCCATTCCTTCACCAGTATACCAATGCAAGAAAGCTTTACGGCGGAACATCGCCGTAAACTGCTCCGATACTCTCTTAAATAGCTCTTGAATGGCAGTTGAATTACCTATGAAAGTAGAAGACATTTTCAGGCCCCTAGGTGGGATGTCGCAAACAGCTGTCTTTACGTTATTTGGTATCCATTCCACAAAATAACTGCTATTTTTATTTTGAATGTTGAGCATTTGTTCATCAACTTCCTTCATTGACATTCTACCGCGAAATATAGCGGCTACAGTGAGGTATCTGCCATGGCGTGGATCGCATGCCGCCATCATATTCTTTGCGTCGAACATTTGCTGAGTCAGCTCAGGAACAGTCAATGCCCTATATTGCTGACTGCCCCTGGAAGTGAGCGGAGCAAAACCTGGCATAAAGAAATGCAAACGAGGAAATGGAACCATGTTAACAGCGAGCTTCCGCAAATCAGCGTTCAATTGACCTGGAAACCTTAAACATGTTGTCACACCAGACATCGTTGCTGATACCAGATGGTTCAAGTCGCCGTAGGTCGGTGTTGTGAGCTTTAAGGTTCGAAAACAAATATCATACAGAGCTTCATTATCAATGCAATAAGATTCATCAGTATTTTCCACCAACTGATGAACTGATAGGGTAGCGTTATATGGTTCGACAACAGTGTCGGAAACTTTAGGGCTAGGCACAACGCTGAAGGTATTCATGATACGATCAGGATACTCTTCGCGAATTTTAGAAATAAGTAACGTTCCCATACCTGAACCAGTTCCTCCGCCCAAGGAATGAGTAAGTTGAAAACCTTGGAGGCAATCGCATCCTTCAGCTTCTTTACGGACTACGTCTAAAACGGAATCTACCAATTCAGCTCCTTCTGTGTAATGACCTTTAGCCCAGTTGTTTCCCGCTCCAGACTGCCCAAACACGAAGTTATCAGGTCTAAATATTTGCCCGAATGGTCCAGAACGCACTGAATCCATAGTGCCAGGTTGTAAGTCAACAAGAATTGCCCTTGGTACATACTTTCCTCCGGTTGCTTCATTATAATAAACATTAATACGTTCGAGCTGCAAATCGCTGTCTCCATGATAGGTACCCGTTGGATCAATTCCGTGTTCATCCGAAATAACCTCCCAGAATTTAGCACCAATTTGGTTTCCACATTGTCCCGCCTGTATATGTACTATTTCACGCATTATTCAAAATCTTGATTTCTAATTAATTTGAATCTTACTAAATTCAGGAAATGAATTTGACTTAGTTTTGGGTCACTTTTGTCTCTTCTCTGAAAAAATGTATTTGGATCTACTTGCTTGTTTTTTGTTTTTGACAAAACAATAATCAGTATGTCACGCGCAAAATGTCACACGCGTAGATGAAGCGCGATTCTGCGTTTATGACTTATTCACAAGTTCACAACAAAATTTCGAAATCATTCGGATCATATCATTTTGCATAACGCTTGAATGCATAATATTTTATTTTTAATTTTAGAGATTAAAATAATTTACATAAAGTGTAAAATTTGTTTGACATATCAACTAATAATATGAAAACATTGCGCACGTTTTTTGTTCATTGCTAGGATGATAAAAAAAAATTATACTTGAAATGGAGTTATAGTGGAAAGTGATTGGAAGCTTATTTTATCAGTATTTCCTAGCAATATATTGTTCTATAATCTGTTTGGAAGATATGATTTATTTCAATTAACAATTATAGAATCAAATGCCTATTAGATATATATATATATATATATATATATATATATATATATATATATATATATATGTATTCAATATTTGATTTATTTCAGATCGTAATAGAGATTATATTGGTTTTGCAACTCTTCCTGAGCAGGTTCATAGGAAAAGTGTCAAAAGGGGGTTTGATTTTACATTGATGGTTGTAGGTGAATCGGGGCTAGGAAAATCTACTATGATAAATAGTCTTTTTCTGGGTGACATGTATCGAAATAGGCACATACCAGAAGTAGCCGGTATAATATATAAATCTTATTCAGTATCAATTAGGGGCCACAATTTTTATAAGTAATCATTAATTATAGATCGTATTGAGAAAACAACTTGCATTGAAAAAAAGACAATGGATATAGAAGAAAAAGGTGTTCGATTACGTTTAACTGTTGTGGATACTCCTGGATTTGGAGATGCAGTTAACTGTGAAGACAGTTGGAGGGTTTGTACCGCATATATTGATGAACAATTCCGACAATATTTCACAGATGAAAGTGGGTTAAATAGGAAAAACATACAAGATAATAGAGTGCATTGCTGCCTTTATTTTGTACCTCCATATGGTCATAGGTATTTATAGTCATTAGTTAACTATATAATATAGTATCACAAACCATTATAAACAAGATTAAGTACACAATTTATAAATAAAACTGGTTTAATTTATAACCTTGTGCAATTTTGCCTGATAGTTAATAAAGTTAAAATATGTCATGCTCATTATTTGTTATACATAACTTATTCTTTATTATTGTAGTTTACGACAAATGGATTTAGAGTTGATGCGACGATTGCACCGAAAAGTAAATATTGTTATAGTGATTGGAAAAGCCGATACTTTAACTGCAACTGAAGTCAAAAGATTAAAAGCTAACATACTTAAAGATCTTGAAGAAAATCAAATACAGGTCAATCTGCAATTATTAACTATAGATAATTATTGAATAAATTTTATAGAACCTCTGATTTTTTTTTTATTTAATTTATTATTTAATTTAGTAAAATACCTGTTATAGATGTACCAATTTCCAGAATGTGATAGTGACGAAGATGAGGAATTTAAACAACAAGATCGAGAACTTAAAGCTAGTGCTCCATTTGCAGTAGTAGGTAGCAACACAGTGTTTGAGATTCAAGGGCGAAAAGTTAGAGGAAGACACTATCCATGGGGAGTTGTTGACAGTATGTAATAAATAATTAGTAAATTGTTATAAAATTGATTTCATGTCGAAGTTTTCTATTTTGTTGTTGCAAAGCCATGGATATTTCAATTATATATTAAATAATATATTATTTTACTTATATTTTGCAAAAAGATCAAGTTCTGTGTTATACAAAACTCACCACATCTGCAAAACTTTGATGTACTTTTTTCTGTATAGTTATTTTAAACCTTAAAAATTATTTTGGATATCACAGTTAGTAAAAGTAATTAGTAATATATTAAATAATGTTATATTAATCACTTAGTTTTATCAACATCAACTATAATGAAATCAATTATATACTATATTTTTTCAACATTATAGTATTTTTGTTAATATTTTTTTTAGTTGAAAATCCAAATCATAGTGATTTTGTTAAGCTGCGAACTATGTTGATTTCTACTCATATGCAGGATTTAAAAGATGTAACACAAGACGTCCATTATGAAAACTTCCGTGCACAATGTATTTCACAAATTTCACAGCATGCTCTTAGAGAGCGAGGGTGAGCTTATTATTAATACTATTATCAATCATCTAATCATATTTTTGCTTATATGATTTTGTTAATAGCTACATATAAATGCAAGCTTATTTGATAGGAAATTGAAACGAGATTCAGTAGGAACGGGAGCAAATGGCCAAGATATAAATTATTCAGATACCGATAGACTTTTATTACAAAAAGATGAAGAGGTAAAATGCATATGCCTAATTTACAGTAGCTTTTGAAAAGTATAAAAATTTGTGTAAGCAGATAATTTTATATACTTATACTTATGTTGTTGTGCTGAATGTTTTATTTGAAAATCAGTGATATATTTATAAATATATATCATAGTTGTAATTATGATATATAGATATATCGTAGTTGTAATTATTATTTTTGTTAATAGATACGTAGAATGCAGGATATGCTCACACAAATGCAAGAAAAACTTAAGAAGACAGCGATCTCAGACAAAAACATTGATAGCATAATAGATGTGTGAACCAACAATTCAGTGTTATCGAATGTTTTTATTAAATGTGAAGCCCATAGATAAGGAAACATATTGGTGAAGCCAATATGTTTAAAAAATCATTTTTGTATTACATTCAAGGTTTATGATAAATTATGATTAAAAAATCAACAAAAACATTGATAGCATAATAGATGTGTGAACCAGCAATTCAGTGTTATCGAATGTTTAAATTAAATGTGAAGCCCATAGATAAGGAAACATATTGGTGAAGCCAATATGTTTAAAAAATCACTTTTGTATTACATTCAAGGTTTATGATAAATTATGATTGAAAAATCAACAAAACTTGTGTAAATTGAAGAATAATATGTGGATGAATTTAATCAAACTTAATTATTTAAATTTTAATCATTTCTAGTCTTTCAAATGTCTACTTATACTTAAGATTAGAAAATATATTGTTTTATATTTATTGTTATTTGAATATCATTTATGTATTTATATATTTACTGAAATACTATCAGATATTAGCTGAAATATAAAATTGAATTTGAACTTTTTGTTTGTGTTTAATACTTGTAAAAAATATTGCCAAAATGAAATATCAGTAATAAAAATTGTTGATGACTATGAAACTATGAGTTAGTGTGAGTTTCTGTTTCAGGCACGGTTTTGTTGAGATTTATTGAGATATCGATTGTGACAAAAAACTAGTGACTAGTTACTAGTCTATACCTGAAATGGATGTCATGCTCAATCATATTGAATTTATTTTGACTTTTTTGTTCAAAGCATACAATATATCAAAATATGAATTATTTCTAATTAGTAACATGTGTTCAATTTTATCAACTTCAAGTAGACTATTTTATTCAAATGTTTCGACACTGTACGTGTGTCATCTTGCAGCATATTTTAACAATATACACCAGGAAAAAACACAAAACATAATATTAAACCACATTAATGTTGAAACAATTATTTCAAAAAAACAAAACAATAAAATAAAATATTTAATCCAGAAAATTGTTCAAAAGAAACTTGCTACATGACTAATAAAATATTAATGACTGATTTAAAAATTATTTATTGTACAGTCAACCCTCGGTTAACGCGGCAAGTCTAGGTCCTAGATAAATAAGCTAGGGCTTTATGCTTATTTATCTATGGTCTTTGCCGATTTGGATGCTAGATTGCTTTATTGACAGTTCCAGTTTTTTTGTGATTTTGATTTTCAATGCCCTCACTTTTAACCATAGACAAAAGAAGAGTATGCTTTTAACCACTTTTAACCCTAGACAATATAATCATAGATAAAAGAAGAGTATAATAATAAGAAGTATAATAATAAGAAGAATATAATAATCATTTATGCTTATTTATCTAGGATAATAATGCTATCTATGAATAATGCTTTTAACTTATAGATTTGTAGCGACCTGGCAACTCACATCGCACCTCAATTTGACAGTTTTGGCTCATCATTTTGGCAACAATGCGCGAGAACCAAAGTGCCAGCATGGTGCCAGCTTTAGGATTCGGAACTCGTCGTAATCTGATTGTTAAAAGTAGCAATAAAAAAAATTGACAGTTCCATAGAGTTTCGAGATCCGCTGCCACAAGTCTGTCTTGATTGTCTTCTGTCCTACAAACTTTGTGGCTGTGCTTTTAATTAACCACGATTTTACATTTTGATTTTAGAGGTTAAGTTTTATAAAATGATTCAAAATAATTGAAATATAATGTTTCTTGAAGTAAAGTTCGAATTTTCAGTTGTTTTTGCAAAGTGATTGGTGTCAGCCTTCTTTTTTTCTTTTTTTTGTATTTGTTCATTTATAATAATTAAAAAAAAATCGTTTTTGGAAATCTATGTTTTATGTATTATGTCAGGGTATTTAAAAATTTCTAGATGTTTAGTACAAAATTTAAGACCGGTTGGCAATTACGCCAAATTCGGCGTATTAGGTGCGTATCTTTAATTTATTAATATGTTTTGCTCATTCTGTATATATATATATATATATATATATATATATATATATATATATATATATATATTGTATAAACATCATGATTATTGTTTTGAATTTATGGTCTTATATGTTGGAGTTTGCATTTTATAATCATATACTTTTAAACTTTTTTATAGGAACAAGTTATCGTAACAACTTCAGATACTATGCTAATGATTGTAAGCCAAAGGTAAACAACATATGGTTGCTTTTTGATATTTTGCATATGATTATTCAATCCTTGCATTAAATTTTCATTTTATGTTGATAATATGTAATAGATATTGTCAGTAGACCTATTTTCATTGCATTAACAAAGCACAAGTCTAGTCAATACATGCTATATAATTTTTCCAGTTTACTTCTAATTTCAATAATAATTTCTCTGCATATTAGTAATGGAGCTGATGGACCTTGAAAACGAAAGAAGTAAACACAATTAAAGTGTACAAATATATATTTATGCATCACATAATTAATTATGTAATATATGTATTTATCTTGTACATATTAACATATGTTCATATACAATTTATATGAATGTCAATTAATATGAAGATATTTTTATGATAGTTATAAATATGAAGTATTAATATGGACTATATAACAATCCAAATACTATGTGTAATAATTTATTTACTTTTGTGCATTATGTAAATTTGATGTTTAAATAGATTACCCACCATCCTATTCCTCGATGCGGTCCTTGTAAAATAAGAACCATTCCTGCATGCTCTCCTGAATTTCGGAAGGTACACTTTTCTTATATGTATTCATTTTAGATTTTGGTATATGTAGCGCTATCAGTGTGAAAACACTTTTGTTTAAAAGCAACTATATTAAACTCTTCAATTTATATTAGGTTTATTAACCAGATAGAATGTGATATCCAGGTCTAGCTGTCTTGCTCAATTCACCAACTTAATTCTTGTTAAAGTATCTTGGACTACCTACCTTTTTTAGAGATATTATGGTGCTCAATGATAATTTAGAAAATTAGATTGCCTTGAAAATTCTAAATTACAGTAATATTTCAATATTCAGAAAAATATTTTATAATAATTATATTAAACAAAGAAAAATTACATTTACATCATTTTCAAGAATTTTAATTATTAGTTTTTATTTAGATATTTCCGTCTCAGCAAGACAAGCCAAAATTAAGACCGTGTCCTGAACCTCCAGAACCTTGTCCACCGCCAAAGAAAAAATGGTGGATTTGGCTTGCAGTAGCTGCGATTATAGCAGGGATTTTGGTTAGTATCTTCATATAATGTTCTTAATAAATAAATTTTAAAACAGCTTTAACCTATTTTAGTACATTTTTAGTATCATAGTACTACTAATATTATTTGTCATCATATGTGGTGATATATTTTGAGTTGACATCAAAATTATGGTCTTATTTACAATGAATATTATTCATAGTGTAGGATTACTTATAAAAATAGCAAATATTAAACCTTTTTCTTATAAATTTTTTTAATATTTACAAATTTTATAATAAATATTACAATTTCTTGTTTTAGTATTACAATCGTCGAAAAAAACCAGAGGCAGCTATTGATCAATGTGATGAAGTAAAATCTGGAAAAAGTAATCAACATATCAAGTTTAAATTTCAGTTTGATAAGTTTTCAATTTCTATTTTAATACATTTATTTATCTCTATTGATTAGCTGGAAAAACAGCCCAAAAGGCTGATCCACGACAGTCATTTGATATTCCAGAAGAGGTACCCTATTTATTAATAGGAGGAGGCACAGCTAGCTTTTCTGCATTCCGGGCTATAAAATCTAATTGTCCTACTGCTAAGGTAGCTCATTAACTAAGTTTTATGTGTTGTGTGCGCGAGGGTTATTATCGAGTATAAATGATGAATTGCATTATGTCTTTTAAATGATTTAGATTGACAATTTCTCATTATGTTTCTAAGATTTTGAAATATTTGATAATAGAAAAATTTCATACACTTATTTGATACTGTTCTAGGTCCTAGTGGTAACTAATGAGTACAGCTTGCCCTATATGAGGCCACCATTATCGAAAGAAATGTGGTTTAATACAGATGATGATAAGGCATTAGCATTAAATTTTAGACAATGGAATGGTACTGAAAGAAGGTAAGCTGCACTTTATACTTGACAATTATGTATGATGCATATATAGATTCATAGAAATTAAGTTTATGATCTATATGCCCTATGACAAACTTGTTTCTCCGAATAATAAAAATAAAAAGATAATAATTCATGGTATGAAGATATGGTAACACTAGACTACATAATAAGAACATTATATTTATATTATTTACATGAACATTGAACATTGTTGTATTTATATTATTTTAACAATTTAAGTAACAGATTTTTTTAACTAACAGCACTTATTGCAATATTTGTATAAAAGTATCTTTACGATAATAATTTATATACGAGAAGTATTTGTTAATTTGATCAGCAATTTTACTGCAAATGTATCTCATGTCATCGGCTATTATTTCATAGTTGGATGTGAAAGTAAAACAATAGGTTAAAACTGGTTTTCTGAGGAAATTACAATTTCAAAACCAAGTTTCTGAAATGTCGGTTTTTGTATAAATTTTAGAGTATACATATACATATTGTCCCTATCGTATGAACTACGGACAAGTTAAAATTGTTTTTTCGCAAAATAGCGGCGGTCTGAAAAAAAAACTGTTTTACAACTTTTTTAAAAACATTTAAAATTAAAATTTAAATTTAAATTTGATTTTTTTACAATTTTTTTAAAAATAGTAAAATTCTGAATTTGGGGATGAGCGTAATTCATACTGAAGAGAAGTCTATAAAGAAAATTTTGTTAAAATTTCAAGTAAAACGGTCAAGTTGAAGTTGAGAAATCGTCGATGTCATAATGAGAAAATCACATATATATAAAGTAATGAAACAGAGAAGGATTATCGTGCTCAAATAGCTATATCTCCAAACATAATTTAGGATTTGATAAATCCATTAGATTTTCACATATTCTTGATTAGTGAAACTATTAGAGTAGAATACCCTCTTAAAGTTACAATTTTTTTTATTTATAATTATTTTTTCAGTTTATACTTCGAACCAAATGATTTTTATACGAATATACGAGAATTAATGAAGAGCGAAAATGGCGGAGTTTCTGTCGCACGTGGATATACAGTCATTAAATTAGATATTCCGAATAAGACTGCTTTCTTGGACGATGGTACAAAAATTCGCTATGACAAATGCTTAATTGCTACAGGTATTTCTATTATTTTTTCAGATTTGTACATATAGTATAGGAGGCAGGAACGTTTTCAAAACAAGAACTTTACCCAAGCTGATTTTTTGTCATGTGGTGCTTGGAGCACTTTCGGTTAGAGTATGGGCCATCTGGCTATTGGGTTGCATTTATTAGTGCGCAGCTAACTTGTACATTTACGATTTCAAAATTTTGAAAGCATTTTAGTCAGTCCAATTTTCATTATTTTTATTTGAATAGGTTCACTAGACTCACATTTTTTATTGCCAGATATTTTTGTCGCTGTGAGACTCCAGTTTATTTATTAATATTTCAAAATCTCAAATCATTTTAGTCTGTCTGCAATTTTAATATTATGTTCATTAAGGCTTTACACTTCTACAGCAGTATCTAGAGTAGTGCTTCGGCCTAATATCTCTTCTATCCCGGTTTACACTAACTCGCGGACACCTGAAGAATACGTGCTCAGTATCTTCTTGTTACCATTATTCTGTGTACATGTATATGATTATATATGTGCATGTATATCTGTATATGCAATTTATATAATAGTGTGTATGTATATATTTATGTGCGTATGTGTATATTACGTGTCTCTTTATTTAAATGTTCATATTTATATATCTTCAAACATATATTATATTCAATATTATTTTGTTTATGTTGTTATAGGATCGAAGCCAAGACAATTGGAAGTACTTGCACAATCAAAGCCAAGTGTGCAACGCCATGTGTCTGTTTATCGTGGTGCTCAAGATTTCAAGGATCTTCTTGAAATTGTAAATTGTTCCCAGAATATAGCCATTATTGGGGGAGGTTTTCTGGGTTCTGAACTTGCTTGTGCGCTCACGAGGAGATGTAATCTATTAGTCTTATTTCATTAAATAATTAAAACAGCTAAATTAGAACAGTTTGCTAACTGACTCTACATAACATAAATAATATGATACTTTTAAACTATATTATGCTAGTATCTATAATAATTTATTTGGCTTCAAAATTTCAACGTTTTTTTTTATGAGTTAAATAATCAATAATTTTTTAAATTTATTCTAAATTTTCATTTCAGCTAAAGCTAAAGATAGCACATTGAAAGTTACACAAATTTTCAGAGAAACAGGGAATATGGGAAAAATATTACCAGAGTACCTTAGCAAGTGGACAAGCAATCAAATGAGAAAATTAGGTACCTCTATCATTTATTTTAATAAAATACTAGTTAGTTATTGCAATAAAAATTTAATTCAATGCTGAAATACGTTCACAGTGATCATACAGTATCACTATAAATAAAGTTATGAAAAAATACTAATTTTATAATTATTATTGAAAAATGTCTTTTATAGTTTTCTGGATGTTTCTATGAATTAAAAAAAAAAGAGTTCGTGTAGGGTTCACATGTGATTGAAGTAAAACTTATTTGCTGCTGTATAAGATGGCATTTAAGTAAAAATAAATACATCATATAACAATTTTGAATAATGTTTATTAGCAATATGGTAACACTCGTGATGCACACATTTATTAGTGTCAACGTCAATCATTATACGCATTTATATAATGATAAATTATAAATTATATATTTATAGAAGCATTAAAAATATGTATAATATTTAAAAACAACGAGTGGGGCGCATGGCATTGTGTCTTAAGGCAAATTACTGGAACTTTCCGTACCAAAAATGATTTTTTTTAAAAAATATCAAAAGAAAAGAACATTTTTGAAAAAAAATTATTTTGAAAAAAATAGATTTTTGAGAAACTATAAATTTTTGAAAAAAAATTATTTTTTTGGAAAAAAGATTTGTTGACAAAAAATGTTTTCTTTGTTCAGATCGGTTGTTCATCTTGTCAATACAAGTAAAATGTTTTTTGATTTATTAAAATCGGATAATCTTAAAAATTAAGTTACCGTTTGTGGCACTTTTGGCCCCGTATCTTCGAAACGGCTAGACCTGCTTATGCCATAAACTAATCAGCACGTCTACTTATCAACAGCAACCAAATGTTTTTTGAATAATTGAAAAATTCATTTTTCCTAAAGTATGCCAAAATGTTCGGAAACTTCTGAAACGTAAAGATATATAAAAATTTTCATTTTTGATTTTTTTGCGATTACTTACCCTGCGGGAAGTATGGCATGATTGATTTGTCATTGTAATTAGCATTTAGAAATGAACTTTTATTAGAGAAATGAAGTAATTGCTGATTAATAAATTCTATAATATTCATTCACACAGTGGATTATGTTAAACAACGCCTAAACAAATATTGTTATCGCATCATGTAATTGTGTTTGAAGAAATTCATGTAATTAAAATTAACATACGAGTACATTCATTGACTGCTTGTATTTTTTTTACTTTTTTGCTGGCGATATAATCTCATTCTTTGAACAGCTATAATATTTGTCTTGCCTAAAAAATATTTTCAATTTTAATAACTTCAAAGATTTATAGAAACTACGAATAATATAGAAATAATTTCTAATCAATGAACTTACTAATCATTAATCTTATTAATCAATATTTTCATGGAACAGGGTAAAATATTCTTCTGATTCAGGCATTTTTCATTAAATGAAGATTTGTACTACGATGCAACTTTAAAATGTTTATTTATCTATGCCGATTTTCTTGCCGATATCGGTACGCATACAACGTTGATGCCATTACTCATACAACGACAGATATCTATTCACATACACGACGACTAGTCACAATGATAGTATAGTATATATAGTATATATATATACTATAATATATAGTATAGTATAGTATAGAAATGATTTCATCGAAAGCGCATGACTCACAGTTCTGCCTTAACGCATTTCCGTTGCATTTGTACGGATTCACACCCTAGTCGCGCCTAAAGAAGTTTTACTTCAAAAATTATATTTATTAATTCATCTATCAATATAGAATGCAATGAAAAACAGTGAATAATTCTAGAAGAGATTACAATATTATCGAAATATATTTTTATTATTAAACATCATGTTAGTGATTTTTTGAGTAATTGTTAAAATGTCGCATAACAGGTGTAGATATTCATCCAACTACAGAGGTTGAAGATGCTCTCACTCAGAATGAAAAGGTGGTCTTGCTTTTAAACAATGGCGATAGAGTTGTTGCTGATCATGTAAGTGCTGATTTGAAAATTCTTATGATGTATGGGTCTTTTTTATTAAAAATTTGTCTTTTAGAAAGAAAGGTTTTGCATGTGGAATAGACAAAATAAAAAATACCAGTATTTAAATAAACACCTCACTCTGTGAATTCGTACAGGTTGTGGTTGCAATAGGTGCGGAGCCTAATACTGATTTAGCGAAGACATCAGATCTAGAAGTTCATGCGGAACATGGTGGTTTTATCGTGAATGCAGAGTTAGAAGCGCGTTCAAATGTTTATGTGGCCGGCGACGCGAGCTGTTTCTTCGATTCAAAGTTGGGCCGCCGAAGAGTGGAACACCATGACCACGCTGTTGTTTCGGGAAGATTAGCTGGAGAAAATATGACTGGGGCCGGTAAGTACGTCATTAAAACTTTTGCAATATACTTTCCAAGATTAAGTTTAAATGAAACCTTAAACAAGATTTTTGAACTCAAATTATGTTTTGTCTATTCTACTGTTTTTTTACGATACGATTTCATGGTTCATTGTTCTCTGTAACGTTCTTAACTAGTTTAGTTTTGCAGTACTTGCAATATTTATTTTGACGTCTCTTCAATCGGAACCAGTTTTAAATATCCCGTGATTTCTTGTCTGCTGCTGGACTTATACTTCAATATATATGGGTGTAGTTACAAAGTTGAATATTTCAGAGGAGCATTTAAATCATTTATCAAATTTATAAAATACTAGCTGACCCGGCAAACATTGTTTTGCTAAGTAAGGTATATTCTAAACAATTTCTAGAGAATCAAAAAAATTAATACTTTAAGTGTATAAGGATGTGTTTTTTGAATGCTATAAACACCATTAGTTAGTTTGTCTATAGAAAACATGGTATAATCCATCAAAGTCATTTTTGTTCTTTCGACTTATTGATTACGTTTCAAGTTTTTCAGATTCTTTTTTGATTCAGGATTTTATGTATAATTGTAAATAATACTACTGAGCTTATACAAAATTTTCAAATTTCTGCGAGGAGAGAGGAGAGATAGAAAATGAATTGAGTATTTCTTCTTTGACCTGCTTTTTGAAAAGTTTCAAGTAACATTCGATGAACTGAAGTAAATTTAATAAAAAGTACATATGTATAGCAGGGCGAGGCACAAAGGTCCAATTTGACTTTGAGCAAATATAAACTATATTATGAAAAGCAAACGAATTATGTCAAAACAAATAACACATTTCAAACGAACAATTATCTGACTTCGTTCAGTAAAACTGCCAGCTACTTCATCATTGTAGAAATGTGCTTCTTTGCTGTCTTTCAAAAAATTGTTATCTAGACCTTTTTACCACATAGACAGAGTAACTTGGAACGGCCAGGTGGTAAAGAGGTTTAATGTCTTATTTTAATTTTAAAGGTCTTTTACAGAATAATTACACTTTTAACTAATGCTAAAAAACTACCAACGGAAGAAAATACTTTTATTATGGACTTTCAAAGATTACAGTTTATCTCCAGATAGCTGGTTATACATCTTTTACCCTCTACTTTTCAATTCCTTGTTAAACAATGCTTAACTTTACTGGTTTTTGACACATCGCTGGTGGACCTTTTTAACCCCGGACCTTCATAATTAAATAATATTCACGTAAAACATCATATTAAAAGTAATTGAACATCATCTGTCAAAAACGTTTGACATTTCACGTATTAGCCACAGTCCATTGTTTTATTCAAATTACGCTTCTACAAAAATGTTCAAATTAAAAATGTAAAGTTTCTACGCGATTTTGAAATAATTTCTCATCTTTTCGACAATCTCTGGATTGGCACGAACATAGATAAAAGAAGAGCATATGATGGGCACGAATTTTTCAAGACCATTTTCATTTTTCAAAGAGAGCTCCGTTTTTATATATAAGATTATGCGGAAAATGTTAACGCGTTTTTGAAATGTGTAATCACCAGCTCTACACACTACATATTTTGCAAAATGTGCTTTCTATTTGTGTTTTTTATTTAGACAGTTGTACAGTAAGCAGTGTTAGTAGCAATACTTGGCAACTATACTCGCTTTCGCATAACAAAGTCCTGGTACGAAAAGCTCAAAGCTATAATACATATAACGCCAAAACTGACCTGTCTTTGTCATAAACAACAACTAAACGATTACGAAGTCAAAACTAAACGCCAAACGCCAGAAGGCAAACCTCCCGTATCATAATTAAACAATAAAACTAATCATTCAACCAAAATTGATCAAAGAATAGATATTATAAATACCATAACCTTCATTTTCCATAGACAAAATGCAAGTGCTTATAAATTAGACGACATCATTTATGCATCAAGCTGACTTATTGTCAGAATGAAAGGACCTTCTCATATTTCATTGTGCATTAGAGGACATAAAGACCATATTTCTAAAATTCATTTGTTTCATATCAAATACATTCAATTTTTGTTCGAGAAATATATGCAATGGGTTAATAAATATATCTCTCCACATCAACACAAATCGATTGTTCTTTCACAAACTTCAATTTTTTTGCACGTATCTTCAAAACTGTCTTTGCCTAAAACCTAAACAGCACGTTTTCCAGTTAAAACGAATCGAGTCTATTTTGAATTATGCAAATCGGTTGATCCGTGCGCCCGAAATCGTGGACGAAAAATTGTATTCAAACATTCACGCGCGCGCACACATACACACATGCATACATCTATTTTTTACTATAACTTACCCTACGGGAAGTTAAAAATTAAATCATGTCTTTGGCTCACATTGCGTAATCGCTAAACAATTATATTTTCAAAATTATTTGTTTCACATGATTCGACCTTCAGGACACAGAAATTAATTGAGAATTACTGGATTATAATTAATAATATGCTTTGTATGGATGCAATTTTTAAACAGCATTTTACTTGTGTTGACGTAGTCAAACATTGATAACATTTTTTCGAAATCAGATTCAGCGATTTTGGAGTTGCAGGAAATAAAGTTAAAAAAAATTATTGTGGTCTGAAATGATTGTTACTAATCATTTTAATAGTTTTCATACACATGTAAAAATGTTGAAACTCTGATGACATGTGGACAGGTAGACAAGTAGACAAATAGGAAGATAGACATATATAGTTATAAAGGGTAACATGTAAAATGGTAGACAGGCAGATAAGTAAAAAAGTAGAAAACACATGAGTGGACTGGTATACTAGTGAATATGTTGACAGATTCCAAAGTAGACTTGTAGATGCTTAGGCAGGTAAACAATTATACCAATTACACTGTTAGCCAGGCAGATCATATACATTTCAAATATTTAATGTAATAATTAACAGTATTTTGAAGGTTTCTATTAGTCAATGCTTTAAATTTAGTCAATATTAACAACAGACATTAACTTTCATTGTTTTTTATATTAATTCTAAATTGCAGAAAAACCATATTTCCACCAGTCAATGTTTTGGTCAGATTTGGGACCTGACATTGGCTATGAAGCAATCGGGATTGTGGATTCAACATTGCCAACTGTAGGAGTTTTTGCAAAAGCTACAGAGAAAGATACTCCACAAGCTGCAGTCACTGAGAATGATGAGGCAATAAGGTATTTTTCATTATAGTCTAAAAAAATTATGTATAGTGGTGCCTAGCCTTACGAGCGCCAAAGAAGCGCTTTGTTTGCTTCGTCGTATGAGCAAAATTCTAAATTAGAGCCGCCAAAGGAGCTATTTGTTTGTTCGTCATACAAGCAAAATTCGAGATACGTGCGAGAAACTTTATGGGGATGCGAATAAAACAGGTTCATGTAATATCAATTGTAACAAGGATTTTCGTACGTGGAGTCGCATTGAACTATCATACAAATATTTAAAATAAATTATTTTGAAGTTTAAAATTTTAATTCATTTATATTAATGTTGTGCATTTGCAAAGTGGGTCAGAGTTGAGAAAATTATGGATAAAAATCGCCCCGAAAAACATGCAACTAGTCAAGCAGTGTGATGAAACATGTCTAACTCATTATCGCAGCACTATAAGAAGTTGAAGAAAGAAATATTGCTCATTGGACAGTTTTGTTAAAAGCAAATGCTAGTATAATGATATTTCAGTCATTTTTTATTTAGGAATTTGCTATGTTTTTGCAGAATATGTATTTTTAATCTTAGCAATAAAGTTTCATTCATTTTTATTTTCAAAAAAAGCTGTGCTGGAACCAATTAGTGGCATTTCAATATATTTATATGGAACATACAACATCGAAGTAGGCTCGTAAGGGCATGGTTTCACTATACATACATTTTATAAGCAGCATATATATCAGAATAAAATAATAAATAATAATGTATGGCTTTGTGCTTTGAGGCAATTTACTCGTACTTCCCATGCCGTAATAAAACATTTGAAGAATAAAAATAATCTATAGTTAATAAAAAATTATCAACAATTGATAAATAACTATTATTTTAAACATCAAATAGATTAGTATAAATATGAACTGTACATCGCACTGAAAACTTATTATGCATCTGAAGACTTTATAACATATTTCTAACAATTATGTAAAATACCGCATATTACCGCATTTTATTTAAAATTTTTGCTTTTCCAAAAAAAACTAATTGCTTCTTTACATAGCCATACAACCAAAATGTTTTTTGAATTATTCTAATTGGATGGTCCGTAACTTTCAAAACTGCATGTCCAGATTTTGTACTCATTGCATAGTATCTGCGTAACGGCTAGACACCAGCCTTTCGCAAAAACTATTCAGTACGTCTCGCCACCAGTACGAATCGAATGTTATCCAAATCGTTTGACTGATATCGTCAATTTATATTATATATAAGATATATACATTTTTAATTTAATATATTTATAATTTGCACTCAATTAGTAAAGAATCAATAATAATTTGATTTATTGTACAGAATTAACTAAAAATAATTAACTGTGTTTTTTTCATTATATTGTACTGCTTTTAATTAATGTTTTTACAAATAATTTAATCTGTCATTCTGTAGATCGGAAGCCGAGGCTAAAGTTGAACCTAAAGACGTATCAAATGAAAAAGAATTTGATCCAAAGGATTACTTGCCAAAAGATTTCAAAGCTGAAGAAGATTATGGAAAGGTAAATGATTGGTTTTGAAAAAAATGCATTTATTGATTATTTATTTAATATAAATGATATTAATTTTTCAGGGAGTTATATTTTATTTACGCGATGATATCGTTGTTGGTATAGTTTTGTGGAACGTGTTTAATAGAATGCAAATTGCACGACAGATAATATGTGAGCAAAAAAGATATTCGGATTTAAATGAAGTAGCTAAGCTATTTAGAATTCACGAGGATTAAAAATTAGGTATGTAGTTTAACGTTATATTTTATGTTTACATTATATTCTAAATTAAAATAAAACTTTACATTTTCACACGTTTATGCATATAAAAAATTACAAAATCATAACATTTTTAAATATAATTTATACCAGTACTCGAGGAATCGATTACTGTAATGATGTACAACGTCGATTGTTTTTGTTTAAGTGCATAATAATTATTACATTTTCTATTGTCAATAGATCCAGAGATAATATTAATGTTTATTTATCATATTATTATTATACATATATAATAATAAAAATGGGTTCTTTGCCCCCATAAGCATATTTTATTTTCAAAAAAATATATTAGCAACAATTTTTTTTTGTATATGTATAATCTATATCACAAAATTATAAGTAAAACAAACTTATTATTCGCACAGATTTATTGAAAATAACTCTATCCATGTGAATGCGTGTCTCCGGTTTAGTTGAATGTGCTCATTTTGACTGTATATTTAATATTAAATATTGCGAAGAACAAATTCTTATAAAAATAATAAACTAGTGGTACATAACATTTGAAACGAAAAATAAAAGGGCGTAAGCGCCGTATCGAGGCTTAACTGTTAAACACTACAAATTTTGGTACCATGTAAACATAAATGCCATTTGTACTTATTATTAAAACTTCTAAAAAATATCTTCTAATTTGATGTGCATATGGATTATTTTTGTGCGCCAAATGGCATTTTTTAACAACGTTTTTATTGAATGCCAAAAATTTAAATATTTTTTGAATCATTCAAATAGGTCGGCTCCGTTCTCTCAGAAACTGAATTGGTATCTTTGTTCATCTTTTGCCCCTTATCTTCGCCAAATCATGCCAAAAAACTATTCAGCAAGTCTCCACATCAATAAGAATCGAATGTTTTTTGAATTATTCAATATATATATATATATATATATATATATATATATATATATACTAGATGACCCGACAGACGTTGTCCTGTACCCACCTCTCCGTTTATTTAATATCCCATACTAATATTTATACCGTTCAGTTAAAAATAATCATTATTTTTCTTCGAGTTACTATTTACACCAATATATGAGTGATGTTAAATGTAGTACTGTTTCAAATAAAATGATTATTCTCAATTCCCACAGTTAACACTTTAATTATCCCTTTTATGTTCAATAAAATTATATATTAAAAATTATACACTGCGATTTATAGAACAAATTTATTTCCAATAGCTCAATTTATTATATTGAATTTAAGGATTATACAATATTTTTAGACATACCTGTAGATGTGGATGTTTAAATAAATGATTTTTTGTTTATTCACGGCTAAAACATTGATTTTCCAAATTTATCACCATGTATTTATTGTCATAGCATAGATTGAAATTGAAAGTGTTGAAAATTGAAATCTTTTAAAAAGTATAACAAATTCAGAAAGAATTAATATATAGCATGCGGTCAAGGTACAATATCACCTTCGATTTTTCTACCCAAAATAATTGCTTCAATAATGTTGCCTACTTGAAAAGTATTTGCTTTTTTGAAAAACATTATTAAACATTTTTCTCTTATAATTAGTTCTTTTATCGATACCCAACGTTATTTTGAAAAAAGTAAAATTACACCACTGAAAAGAAATGTCATCCACCCGAGAAGTGGTAAAGGAGTCTAAATTGTTTTCACTTCTGAAGAGTAAGATGAACCTAGTTCCAAAATTCCAAACGAATTGGAAAAAAGTAAAAAAAGGTCGGACCGAAAGCGCTCCATTGAGTAAATATTCCGTACCCAATGACAAACATATGAATTTTTGACACAATGAAACTTCTAAATAATTTTTTTTGTATTGTGACTTAGTATAGTAAGGCAAAACGACCGCAAATTGAATATTTTTGAGCGCAATCACTTATGGCTCGTCTCCTTTGCACGAATTCGTACGGCGAATCTGTTCGCAAATTATTGCAAGCAAAATTCGCCGTGCGCGTCAGTCGCATGCGCAGACTGTCAGACGCATGTTATATTATTTGCATCTTATATTATTTTAGTTATGGCACATCTCAGCTGCTTTTCGACAATAATAATGTAGACATTACATTTTCTTTATTTTTAATCATGAATTTATTATATTTTAATATTGCCTTAGCCTCTAAGTGAATAGAAATGTTTGGCAAATGACAGTTGTTATTTGTTTTTAATGTCAAACCATGCCTTAAATATTTTAAAGGTCAAACAATGATAAGCGGTTTTTTTGTAATTTTTTCCATTTATTTCTACTATCTAACTATATTTCTATGAATCAAAACATTCTAGAAAATTTCCCGAACAAACTTCAGGAAGATTCATGAAAATCCGAATTATAGTTTAGGAGGATTAATGAAACTTACATTGTTACAGAAGAATTTTATATATATATATATATATACTAGATGACCCGACAGACGTTGTCCTGTACACACATCCACGTTATTTCAATATTCTATACCAGGGGTCGGCAAGCTTTTAACTGTGTTTAAAAGCTTGCCGGTGTGCCAAGCCACTGTACCAATATGATTTAGAGTGCCGCCTTAATTCTGAAATATATCATTAAGTTCTAGGAGAGAAGAATTATAACCCAATTTATCTTTGAAACATATTTATAAACACATAACCTACAATTCTAACATAAACTAAACAATTTTAATGTGAACCTTGTCCCTGTACATTTTTGCTTAACATTTCAATATCCGGGGTATAATTTGTAACTTTTAACTTCACACATGATTCTGAATGTTCAGTTGTTAAACGACTTCTTTGTGAACTCAAAATATGTTTCATGTAAGAAAAAATTTGTTCACAAAGATATGTGGATCTAAAAGCTGAAAGGAGAGCGCATGCAATTTTCTTTAAACAATTAAATCTTTCCGGCAATGACATCCAACAATTTAATACGGCTGTCGATTTTTCTATAGAGTCATCTTCTAGATTTTTTCGTAATTCTTTAAATTTTGTTTTCCATAATTCTGAAGATGATAGTTCGATAATTTCCATTTCAAAATTATCAACATTCATCCACTCTAAAATTGAACAATCGAACGGTATTATTGATGAATCTATTAAATCTGGTTTTCTGGTCTGGAAAATATAGGCACATAAGCTTCAAAATCTTCGCATCTTATGCAAAATTCATCTTTAAGTGCTTCAACGTAAGTTTTAAGTTCATTGTTGTTTACGGTCGATTCATTTGCAAGCGCTATCACACTTGGGAAGTATTTGTAGGTGCTCGTGTTAATATCACCTAAAAATATATTTAATTTTGACGCAAATGCTGTCCAATATTCAAATAATTCGAGCACCGTTTGGCGCTTCCCTTGCAATCTCAAGTTTAGTTCATTTAGATGATTTGTTACATCGGTCAGAAACATCAATTTGCCTAACCATTCTTCATCGTTCAATTCGGGGAAATGTTGTTCCTTTTCATTAAGAAAAACTTTGATGGGTTCCAAACATGACACAAACTTATTCAAGACATTGCCTCGACTAAGCCAACGAACATGGCTGTATGAGGGAAGGTCAACATATTCACTTTCCATTTCTTCTAAAAGAGATTTAAATTGCCTGTGTGTCAATGAAAAGCGAGACACTATAAAATTAACTATTTTAACAACAGTGTTCATTACAGGAATTAGGCACTGTGACGAAATTTTGGCAACTAAACTTTCCTGGTGTATTATACAATGGAAGTTCAATATTTTATGTCCAATATGATTTTCAAGAAGTTTGACAAATCCTCTATCTTTGCCAATCATTGCAGGTGCGCCGTCAGTGGTTACAGAAAATATTTTTTTGACATTAATGTTCTTGCTGTCAAAATAACTTATGAATGAAGAAAGAATATCCTCCCCCTTAGTTGTCCCAGACAGAGGAATCGAAGTACACAATTCTTTATAAACTTGATTTTTATCACAATACCGTGCAAATACTGCAAGCCGTGCAATATCATTTACATCGGTACTTTCATAAACAGAAGCACTAAATGAAACAGCTTCTTGTAATCCAGCATTCTGTTTTGTTGTTACATTGTCTGCCATTTCAGTTATTCTTCTTTCAATTGTTCGCGCAGAAGCCGGTATTTCTTGAATTCGGGATAATATGGTTTGTTGGTTAGGTAAATCGCTAAACAACTTTTCATCACTTTCATAAAAATTTCCTTTATATATTCTCCATCTGTAAAGGATTTGCCTTTGGCAGCTATGCAATGAGCAATTGCGAAGCTGCATTCTGTCGCTTTAGCCTTCGTTCCAGTTATTCCACAAAAAAGTTATTTGTTTCTTATAGCAAGAAACAGCTTTCTTTATAGTTTCACATTTCTCATCGTTGCTATTGAATATGGACTGATGTTTGGTTTGGAAATGTCTTTGTACACTTGACGTGCGGCATACTACACTTTCGCGGCATATCGCACATACAGCACGATCCTTTTGTTGTATAAATCCATATTCATTCGTCCAATAGTCTTGAAAACCGCGAACATCTAATTTTCTTACTCTCCATTTGATTAAATACGAATGAATTATAACAAATATAAAACTAATAAGATACAAGTCTTCACAAAAAAATTAGAATGAAAAGTAGCGACCAAACGAAATGCAAGTTTACCTCTGCAAGTTTAAGCCCACCACGCAAGCACACCACACAAGCAAATGGTGCGCAGCACTCGCAGTAGAAAAACGAGAAAGAGAGGGGCGAATGATACTCCAACATTCAGCTTGAACATTCGTGAAGGCCGCTTCGATAACTCTCGGCGCTGCACATGTTTCATCCCTTTTACTCCGAATGCAGTCTCACTCAACCTTCGCGCAGATTTTCGTGAAATTAGCGAGCCACGTTAGATAAATAATTATAATTAAACCTTCTCTCTTATTTTCAACATTTTCTCTTATTTAAAAATCACTTCGTCTCGATATATTTGCAATTTTCCTAATTACTTTGTAGAGTGCCATTCAGAACCCCATCGCGTGCCAAGCCTGGCG